GCAGCCCGGTATACTCTCCCTGCGTAATTAAATTACGACTTAGGGGACTCGAACCCCGTTGCTCAGTCAAAAGTAGTAAAAGAATACCTTTACTCACAGATGGTCCTTGTCTGTTCCCGCGGTGATCCAGATAAGGCGAGGAGCCCCTTTGGGAAAAGGCTCCCGAGGGCCCAAGGGGGTCCTCTTCTTACCGGGTCCCGCAGCCGAACAGAATGGGTCCCATCTGGGGTGCCAAACTGATTCGAAGATCCGGTAGGAAAACCTCACAGCACAATGTACACTGCTCAGCAGGGATTCTTTATTGCGGCGCCGGGCACACCGGGGATTTCTCCTCCAAACGTGCGCACCAGACACCCTGTTGCTTCAGGTTAAATACAATCACACATGTAAATACTCATTATATTTCTAGGAACTAATTAGCATATGTAAATATCTTTCACGCATGTCTGTTAGCATCTTTGGGTGGTCTTTGGGGGTCCCAAGATGAAGGCCCATCCTCTTCATCACGCTGTTCACTGATTGACATTTGTCTCTGCGCAAACTCCGTTCCAGGATCACGTATATCGTGTGCTTCAGGTGGTTTGGCTCCGGTCTTGTTGCCCTCTTGGTGCCTCCTGATCTCTGTAGCTTGGCGCATTTGCCCTCCCAAGGCCGAGCTGTCTGGAGTAGAGTTATTTAGGAGTCTCTTTTATCCCACAATTATCCCAATTATTTGCTGAGAATCAAGACCACTTTTGTTTCACTTAATTATTTTGTCTAACGACTAAGTGATAGCTTGTGCCCATGTCCTTCCACTACATTCCTTAATGAGAAAACAGGGATTAGTGTAACAGTTATATTGTTAGATCACTATGCATGCAGAAATACAAGTTACAGTACTAAAGACTACTAAAAACTAGAAAATATTAAGGCTTTTTATTATAGTTTCACATTTCTTACAATCCCCTCTATCAATCTACCACTCCTCCCAGTTTAGTGTCATCAGCAAACTTGCTGATCCGAGGGCTGGAATCCCTCTGCTGTGTGGGAAGGCTGGGAGAGCTGGGGCTGTTCAGTCTGGAGAGAGAAGGCTGCGGGGAGACTTTAGAGCAGCTGCCTGTGCCTGGAGGGGGTGGGAGAGGAGCGGCTGTGCCTGGAGGGGCTGCGAGAGAGCTGGAGAGGGGCTGGAACAAGGGCATGGAGTGATAGGACAAGGGGTAACGGCTTCAAGCTGAAGAGAGCAGATTTAGATTAGATGTGAGAAAGAAATCCTTCACTGTGAGGGTGGGTAGGCCCTGGCCCAGGCTGCCCAGAGAAGCTGTGGCTGCCCCCTCCCTGGCAGTGGAACCCTTTTGAAGACACACACAGGACGTAAGCTGCTATACCTGACATTTTATAGGATATGATGTGTGCTGATCTTTGTGGTCTCAGCCATATGGGTCATATCAGTTTGGAATATAACCAGACTGGAATATGCTGTTATTTTATAGATGACTAATTCTGTGTTTCTGATACATTCAAGAGAAAAATAACAAAAATCTTGCAAGCTTTGTATGAAGCAAAAAGAATTAGTTACTGGGGGGGGGTGTGTGTGTGTGTGGATATAAGGAAACAGTGTAGGAATAATAATAAACAGTATAAATGAATGAAGTATTTGTTTCTGAAAGGCTTTTGATATTTAAAATTGTTCCTGTTCAAATGTGTAGCAATCTTAAATATCAAAGTTATATGTGAGAGAGCGGTGAACTGTGCAAGTCTTAGCATTTCTGACTGCAGGACATTCTCTGTTGTACGTTTTCATGGAACTGTGGATGTTGGAAGCTCAGCATTAGACTCCACTTCCCAGGTCTTCTGGCTTGCCCAGGAGTAGGATTCCCTTCAGTCTGCCACATGCATGACTGTCATGGTTTAACCCGGCAGCTGGCAACTCGCTCACCTCTCCTCTCTCCTCTCCCCCAGCAGAATGGGGAGGAGAAATGGACAAAAGGTAAAACTCGTTGGTCGAGATAAAGACAGTTTAATAAGACAACATACTGATAATAATGCATATGCAAAACAAACTATATACAATTTTCTCACCACCTGACAACTGATCTGCAGCTAGTCCCTGAGCAACGACTGCAGAACCCTGAACTCATGGATTTTGCAAATTTTCACAGAACTCCCCAAAAATACCAAACTCCCAGAAAAGTCAAACTCCCAGACAGGAGAGGATTTGAACTCCCAGAAACGAGAGAATAAAGATTCCTGCCGCCCTGCTAATCCCCGTTCATAAGCTGAGCATGCCGTCCACGGTATGGAATATTTCCATGCCAGCTTGGCTGGCTGCCTGGCTGTGCTCTCTCCCAGCCCCTGCACACCTGCTCGTTAGCTGAATGTGAGAAACTGGAAGTAGTCCTTGATTTCATAGCAACAACTGAAAACATTAGTGTTATCAACATTCTTCTGGTACTAAATGCAAAACACAGCAGCAGCTGCTGAGGAGAAAGATTAACTCTATTCCAGCCAAGATAATTGCTTAAGATTTAGGAAGCAAATGGGAACCAGTCTGGTTTGCAGAAGAGCTTCTGTTGGAAAATTACTGTAAATTAACTCTGTCACTTTTGGTTTTGATGAATGTGCAAGTCCTTATAGGAGAATGTTCTATCATTTTTTTTTCTCAAAAAAAAGTCTAATAAATAGTTCCCTAGAAATTATAGTGTTCCTTGTAAGTATATAGGTTTAATTGTGAAAGCTATAGTAGAGGTTTTATTTTTGTCTCTGTGACCTGCAAATTTGCACTGACCAAAACAAGTACATGGACAGATTTTAACCCCATCTTGAACCACTGAATCTATGAGAATATGTCGGTAATTTAATGAAAAACAGGGTCTTGCCTAGAAAACTACACTTTTTGAAAAATCTCTGTAGACTGAAGTTAAAATTGGCTTCTAAAAGACAGTAAGTCAGTCTTAAAACTATGTAGAACCATAGCAGTATCTGTATAAATGTAAAGAGGAGAAGTTATGTATTCACTCAGAAGAAAATTCTGTCAAAAATCAATCTAACAATCTGGGTTTTCTTTGCCTCTGACAAAGTTAGCCTGGCAAATCTATTGTAAGCCAATGAATTTATACATCAGATACATTAGATTTTAATGCTGGGACAGTTAGCCCTGATGATAATCCTTACAAAAAATTTGTTGGCAAAGTTTTAAGGGTAAGTAATTGCAAAGCTGGGATTTGGTTTCTTTTTGTTGTGGTGATGTTCTGGTTGTTTGGTTTTTTTTTACATTAACCTGCATCTTTACGTAACACTACATAATTTTCTTTTATCTAGCATCTAGGTTTATCCAGCAAGACTGATGCATAAAACCCTTTTTGACAAAGCATTGCTTTTAACGGAGAGCAGTGGCTGCCCCAGTGACTTCGTGAAAGTATTTATTTTCAGTTATTTAATGGAATGGAACGCCATCCTGGAATGGTGGGTGAAAGCATTCTGTTTTTAGCAAAGGAAGCTTTTAAAACTCATCCTTTTTTTTTTTTAACAGCAGGCCAACTAAGAAGAAAAAATCTATTTTCCTCATCTGTTGTTGGTTACAGCAAGTATGTATTTGAATTAAATTACAGCTCATTCAGTTACGATTTTTGGGAGAAGCTGTAGGAAACTCCACAGTGGTTTCTCTTAAGTGACGTGAAAATGTTTCTCAAAAGGCTGTATCCTGCAAGGATGTAAATGCTTTTAATGCTCACTGGCCACGACAGCGACTGATGCGCTCATGCACAGACACTTCAGAGATTCCCAACAACAACCATTTCTGCACAAGGCAGTGTGCCACAGGCTTTTATCTTGTTCACTGTATTAGAGATGCTGCTTTCCAAATCAGGTTCTTATTAAGGGAGAGGCTTTCAGAAAACCGCATTCTGACAGTCTCACGCCTTGTGCTCTGCATCCTCTTTCCTCTTCTCAGCATCTCCGCAATCCCGCAAGCGTTTTCTTGCCTGTAACTTAGGGTTCAGTGCCCGCGTTCTCCACCGCAGTGAGCAGCCCGTACCGGCAGTACCCCTGGTCCGGTATAAGTCACGTGCTCTGCTGGTAGGGCCGGGGACCCCGGGCGGACGAGAGCTAGCTGTCT